AGGTCATTGATGCAATCCTTAGTCGCATCGAAGGTGACTCCGTTGTTAGCAGAAGTTCCCTTGTCCCAATCAATGATCTTCACAAACTGCGACTTCCCTGTGCCAAAGGTCATGGGGTCAAGACTTCCACAGGAAGATGGAACCGTTGGCCCCGTGGGCACTGGCAATGGCTTGATGGGCATGGAGAACCTGATCTTGGACCAACGGATGTTCTTTCGGTATTTAGAAGGAGCAAAGAAACCCCAGCCACCTCCGCCCTTGTTCGGCTCGAAGGACTTGCTGGAGGCACGGCAGCAGCAGTCTCGACCAAACCCGGCGTTGTTGTCATCATAGTTGCATTTGTTCCACTTTGAAGTGCCAGAGATTGCATCATTCACATCCGAGTACAGCTCAAACTGCTTGTTGAGCTTGTTGTTGGATGACTTCCATTTGTAGATGTAGCCACGCGCATCAAAGCCATCTCGAACTTGAATCTGCTTGTACACGGACCACTCATGAAAGGTTGTACCATCCTTGCTCACCTCCATGAGCCATACCCCGCCGTTCTGCGCGAAGAGGTCATTGATGCAATCCTTAGTCGCATCGAAGGTGACTCCGTTGTTGGCAGAAGTTCCCTTGTCCCAATCAATGATCTTCACAAACTGCGACTTCCCTGTGCCAAAGGTCATGGGGTCAAGACTTCCACAGGAAGATGGAACCGTTGGCCCCGTGGGTGGCTGGCATGGCGTGGTCGCCAAGCAATTGAACTCTGATGGACCCCTCTCACTTACCTTGCACTGCATGTAGGCCGTCTTGCCAGAATCCGTGTCATAACTCTCGCTGCACTTGTTCTCGGCCTCCTCCCCTTTGGCACCACTCAGGCTGTCACACTGCCAGTGGTCATTTCCCACCACCTTCGCTAAGAGCTTGCCAGAACAGACGGGAAGGTCGGACAGCGAGAAGTTGCCGCGGTCCTGCAACTTGAGACCAACTGCAGCGGTCAGGAGCAGAGCTACGAGGCTCCACCCAGACATCTTCATTGCAAGTTTGGAACACTTGGACGCTTGGAGACTTGGGCACAAGCGCTGCAGAAGGACGGGAATCCATGGCATGCAAGCAAACTGGCATGCTGCCGCTGCGATTCTGCTCGTCGCTCGACGCATTCACTGAGGTCAGGGCATGGTTGCCTGAGGCCCCATTGGCAGCCCATGCACTTTTCGCCAGGCCCAGGCTGGTCCTGCGCGGCTCAACCAGCGCGGCGGAGGAGCACGGGCGACCGAGGCCTTTCTGATGAAAGAGGTTCATGATAGAAAAGTCCGTGAAAAAAAACGACAACAGCCGAATTCAGAAAACGACCTCTCGTTACCTGGTGTTCATCTATTTTTCTTCATGGAAACGAATCCATACGCATGCGCATGCGGCCATCGCGACTCCTTGGAGCCACTATCCGCGCTGGTGCGTCTGAAAGACGGAGAAGTCGTAGCAGGTCTGTCGCTTTCCACCCAAGACATGAGGTCTTTGAAGGAAGGACAACTTGTTGGTGACACCAAGACATGGGTCGAATGGAACTCCGACAAAAGCAGGAGGTGGAACGTGAGAGCCCGCCCTTCTCTGCCCGCTCGAACAAAAGTTGCAGTCATGACTCAAACCTATGTTTGGGCTTGCTGTGGCAAGATGAGTCCCAAAAAGGATGATGAACATGAGCATGTTTTCCCTCGGAACTCGCGAGCCTAAGTCGTGATCAAAGCGCAGCATCCAAACTTCCTTTTGCGCTCAAGAAGTGATTCCAATTGCCAAGCATTGCGATGCCAATACGGCACTATTGGAGGACTCACAAATGCATGGCTCCTTTTCTAAATGTTACCCTCATGGGGGGGTCACAAAAGGTATGGTACGTTGGCATGAATTCTTCCTGCATCCCAGGAAACCCTATGTGGGATTTAAAAAAGAAACACTGAAACACCAAGAAACTGTTCATCAATCACCTTCAAGCCAAATGCATTGGAACGAATTGAGGCAGAAAACGCGGGAGGCCTAGCAGGGGTAGTAAAGGAGGGATCTTCGGTCTTAGTGAAACCTCGTTCCCACGAGGTTTAGCTCGGGGATCGTGACCGAACAGGTCGACGTCGTTGTGCGAACAACACACACAACGAAATGGTCTTCGCAACATCCGACCACAGAGCGATGACCCGACCACCAGCCATGCCCACGAATACGGCGCCTTCACAGCAGGGAAAATGCGGCGACCGCCCTCGGCGCCCGAATCAAGCAAAAAGGTGACACACCCAAGCCTACCAAACTAAGCAACCTCATCCAAGCAAAGCAGCCTGATGCAAGCAGCAGTGGCCTCGTCGAGAATCCAGCAGAGATGGATGCCCCTGAAATCGACCATGCTTTTCGCAAGCAGATCCACCCGGCGATCAGGCACGAGCGCATTCCCAGGATCCCATATGTGAACACTTGCACGGATGCCCCAGCTAAACAATGCCTGCACGCAACGTCTTCCGATTCGCCATGCATGTATATGCAGGCGGCTGAGCAGTTTCCCTTCCACACCTCAGGCGTTCGACCCTTTGCATCATCAAATGTCCGCACCTTTGCATCATCACCTTCACGGGCCAGCAGAGAAAAGTATTTGCGACAAACAGTTGCGCCTGGGGGAAAAAAGATTACATCGACCATCTGCGGCCGCCCAATGAGTTCCCATGACTCTTCTGCGCCATCGCAGCCAACCTGTGTAGTTAAGCATGGTCTCTGCAGGCCCCTTACAACTGCATGGAACAACTGATACAAAGGGCCACGCACTGGACAGGATATGATTTCTCCACGAAGTTCAGAATGCACATTAACCCAAGCACTACCCTTTGCATCTTGATGTGTTGTTTCACCTCCCGCAAGCATCCCTGCAGTGTTGCATGATGGGATTGATCTCCTCTTGTTTGTAAGGAACCTCGTCAATCCAAGGTTCTTCAGTTGTTTATTGGTAATCTATACGGGCAAGCCCTATCACCGGCACATAGGGTATCATCTTCCCTCTTACGGGGGGCGTGGCAGCAGAGAGTCTCACAATGTTGTTCTTTTTGTTCTTTGAATTGTTGTTTTTATGTTTTTGTGTTTTGTTGTTCACTTTTGTCTTTGGGGGAGGGGGGCATTGTTTCTGCTGCATTCATATGATGAGCAAATGATGCTCAAAGGATGATCAAATGGTCAGATAGTGATTTGCAACGTCCTGATTAGCTCAGTGCACCAAAAGTGCGCGTTTCTATAATGTATACCACTCCACCCCCATGGCGCCCCTTCTATCTCTTTTTAACAGGGTTTGATTCTTTCAGCGCATTCTGAACGCGACTTTGCACCTTAAGGTCGTGAGCTGCCTAAGAAGCACGGTCTGAAAAGTTAAGAATATATGTTTAGGAAAAGATACAAAAACACAATACAATTACACCAGCATAGACCCAGATAGCTAGGCAGAATCCCACGACCTGTTGACATGCGACCGGCTGGAACAAGAATGTACGCAGCCTGCACAGCCAGCTTACGGCACCTCCACAGCGCGCACAATGACAACACCGGCAGCGGGCCAGCGCCCGACCAGCGCCGCCGCCCGTCTTAAACCCGCGCTCAGCCAGCTCACAGCACCAGCGCCCAGGACCACAACACCGGCACCAGCACCGACACCCTTTTGGAAAAGCGCGCGCAGCCAGCTCATTCTTATTTGCAGCAAGAACCCCCTAGCTATCCCGATTTGGGGAATAACAACGTATGATCTTGCGCGTGTAAGTTTATGCGCACAAAAGTATCTTGCACATATAAATATAAGATTACGCGCACAAAAGTATGCTCGCAAACGGCAAACCCGTAGTCTTCACTCGCCCAAGGCCAAGCAGTATCCAGCACGACTATTGTGTGTGTAGCATACTGAAACATGCTTGAGAGCCTAGAACATTATACGTACAAAAGTATGCGCGCAAACAGTACAGCCCTTGACACAGCTGTCGGCCAAAACAGAACCTGAAGAGTGTAAATACCCCCACAGCGCTAATAGACAAAGAACGCTCAAGCGACAAAACCGTATGAGGTTGCGTGAATAAGTTCATGCGGCCCATGACTGCCGGCACTTCATTGTCAGAAGCGGCGGTTGTTATCACTTCACTGTCAGAAGCGGGCACCAGCACCGAGCACCGGCGCTCCACCACGTGCACAGCCAGCTCACAGCACCAGCACCGGCACCCGGTGCCCAGCGCCAGCACCAGCGCCAGCAACCTGTCTCCACCACGCGCGCAGCCAGTTCACAGCACCAGCACGTGCACCGGCGCCCGGCACCAGCACCAGCACCAGCAACCTGTCTCCACCACGTGCAGAGCCAGCTCACAGCACCAGCACCAGCACCGGCACCCGGCAGCCAGCATCAGCAGCGCCAGCAACCTGCACAGCCAGCTCACAGCACCAGCACCAGCACCGGCACCCGGCACCAGCAGCCTGTCTCCACCACGTGCACAGCCAGCTCACAGCACCAGCACCAGCACCGGCAGCCGGCACCCAGCACCAGCACCGGCGCCAGCAACCTGTCTCCACCGCCTGCACAGCCAGCTCACAGCACCAGCACCGGCACCCGGCACCCAGCACCAGCACCAGCAACCTGTCTCCACCGCGCGCACAGCCAGCTCGCAGCACCAGCACCGGCACCGGCACCCGCCACCAGCGACAGCAACCTGTCTCCACCATGTGCACACTCACAGCACAAGCACCAGCACCAGCAACCTGTCTCCACCACGTGCACAGCCAGCCCACAGCACCAGCACCGGCACCCGGCACCCGGCACCACCACCAGCACCGGCACCAGCAACCTGTCTCCACCACCGGCACCCAGCACCAGCACCAGCAACCTGTCTCCACACGTGCACAGCCAGCTCACAGCACCAGCACCAGCACCAGCAACCTGCCTCCACCACGCGCACAGCCAGCTCACAGCACCAGCACACCAGCACCGGCACCCGGCACCAGCGCCACCAACCTGTCTCCACACGCGCACAGCCAGCTCACAGCACCAGCACCCGCACCCGGCACCCAGCACCAGCAGCAAAGCTATCTGGGGAAATAGTAAATCACTACAAAACAAAATTAGTTAAAAGATAGGAGCCAAAATACCCTCGGGGAACGCCAGCACTTATTGAATGTTTACTCAAGAGCAGGAACAAGAATCATTCATGCGCTGTTTGTGGATTCTTAATCTTAAGAGTATGGCTTGACACAGGCGTCCTGCTCTTGATTGAATCTCTTGTCATCGAAGGTGGATGCTAACAACATTTAAGTACACACGATCTAGCACAAGTTCCATTTTATGTGAAAACTGTTGAAGGCTTAGAAAGGTTTGTGGTGTTTGAAGGAGGGCTCCTGTTGAGGGCTCTCTTCTCTTGCGAGGCTTCTTGGTGTCAGGCAGCAACCTAGTGTTCATGATCACTGTGAACTGTGTGCCCGATGTGTTTGTGTGCAATTATTTTTGTGATATTGTTGTATTTGTCTTTGCGTTATTTTTGCAATGGTTTTGTGTGTTTTATGATTTTGTGACTCATTAGAATTAACTTTAATCCAGGTCATAACCTTAAGGGTCAAGCGAGTCTGCGAGTCTGGCGGGACTGGCTGCAAGCGAGTCCGGCGGAAACTGTGCTGCACCCACCGCCTTTACTACTTACACTGTCGCCGTTCTTCGCATGTTACTCATTAACGCGTCTCCGTTCTACTATGTGTTCTGTGTTCAGTCTCTTTTTGCTTTATATATCTGTCTTCCCTTTTTCCCGTTTCTCTCTTTTTATCGCATGTTGTCTTTCTTTCTTGTTGTCTTCTTTCTTTCTCTCTTCTCTCTCTCTCTCTCTCTCTATCTCTCTCTCTACCCCCACTGCAATACCACAAAACTCTCTTTTTTAGGAACGACGAATCTGCCTAAAAAACTAGTCTGTGCGGTCGGCCGTGCTACGTGACGGCCGACCGAAAGAACGCGCAGCGGCACATCTTTTGCGACGCATCCAAAGTCGTCGGCACTTTGAGGCGTCGACGCACTTGGCTGTTCATCTGACGACGCAGAGAACCGCCACTTACTGGCTGGGACACAGCATAGTTTTTCAGCACATCAGCCTGGTGTGAAAGCTGCATGAGAACCGCAGAGAGCGGGCAGTTGGCTTGAAATTTTAGCTGCTGCCCCAATCCTGCTTTCAGGCACCAAAACTTGGTGACACATGGCAGGGCTATGTGAAACAAACCACTTCAACTTAAAGCGCCGTCCTCCTTTCACCAACCTCATCATGCAGGTCCTTGACGGTCCTTGAGCTTGAACGTCCCAAAGTTTCAAACTCAGAGCCAGAAAGGTACAGCCAACGCTTGTTTGGTTTTTTGGCTCTATATAGTGACGACACACACTTGGAATAGTGAGCATTCAAAACATAGTTTGGGGTTGTTTCTTTCACTTTTTCTTTGCACTGCCTGCGACTTCTCCTGGTGAGTCCCCCAGTGGCAACACTGACTAAGAAGTAAGAAGTGGATTGGTGAAAAGAATTAGTCTGCAACCGTCTCCCTTGCGATTGCCTCCTGGACGGGCACTTGAGCACTTTTGTTTTTGCTTCTTGATTTTGTTATCTGGCAGTGCGGCAAACCTTCACTTCTGTCTGCCATTGTCTCGACCAAAGTGATGAGGCTTGTTAATCCACTGTACCTGGTAATTACCTGCTGCCAAAACTCAACCAAATGGGTGCACAGGATGCTCAATACCAAAAAAGGTGGCACGAGTACACACGGAAAACTTTAGGACATGAACATTCACTTAGCGACGCGTCACTACGTCCAGAGCTACAAAAGCCGCAAATTCCCCCCCCGAGAACCAACAACTGAGGTATCCAACTGAATGGGTTCCAATGGTCGAGGGACTTGGGGATACATATATATAGGGCTTTAGGGATTTAAGTGAGAAAAATGTTCAGGTTCAAGAAACGTGGGACTAGTGACAAATTGGTTTGCGAAGAACACACAAAAATCACGTTTCAATGAAAAAGGGTCACTCTGGGCGTTGGATATGAATTGCCTTGGGTACACACGGATAGGAAGCGTATTGAAGGTGTGTGTGTGTGTGAAACCCTTGGAGTCTTCGAAGTTGTAACTTTTAGCACTGCACCTCCTCATCCTCAATCTCCCCTCACCCATGTTCACTCACACACCAACTCAACTCACAAAACCAACTGACATCAACCCAACTCACACATGAACCGGCCCTTGCACGCCCCAAAAAACGCGATGTCAAATTGCGCATTTGCTTTCCGAAATTGCATCTGTTGGTGCACGTCATCTCCTGTCCAAAAATCTCGGAATGTCAATAAGCAACTCGTGGGCGCGTTGCTTGTCAGATCTTCATGTATGAAGATAAACAAATCGATCGTTGAAAGCGTCATGTCATCTTCTTCATCCAATACTGAGTCTCAGCATCGAGAAGGATGCTTGGGCGCTTGGTTTTGGATTATATTGCTGGATTTTGCGCCGCCCTCAAAATTGCGTCATTCTGAAAATGATCTCCATCATATTGAGTATGACTATGCAGTGCATGAATGTCTTCGTTAGACTTAAACACCCAATGCTGACGCGGTCTTCCAACTCTACGTTTCCCTATATGTTTGGGCTCGGCGCTGTTTTGTTGATAGGATACTTGTCTAAGGGGATCGTGATTAGGGGCCCGCAATATATGTCCAGCCAAACGAACTCGCTTCTGATCCAAATCAATCGTAACGGGTCTAATTCTACTATTAGGATCACGCGGATATGCTGTTCTTGAAGCAAGTTCGAGCACCCTGTCGTTCGTCCACCGTCGGTCAATGTAGGTTGTAGGTCTTTTTAGAATTTGCCTCAACCCACGTAGTTGGAAAGCCTCCATTTTCTTGCGTAAGGCTTGAGTGAGGAACACAGTCTCCAGATTATATAGCAGCTTGGTCTTAATGACAGCATCATATATGACGAGTTGCCATTTCTTGCTTACATTGGAAGCTTTCCAAAAGACCGCTAAACGCCTCCAAGTTGACATTGCATCTTGGATCCGTTGTGTAATTTCTCTTCTAAGGTTTACTGTGTGGTTGAGGTTGTTCCCCAAGTATGTAGCATCTTGCGCTTTATCAAGAAGTGTACCATCGGCAAAATGTATGCGCGCCTCACGGTGCATGTTCAAGGAGTGGCATTTGGCACAGTTAAGTTTCAATCCATAATATCCAGAACATTCCTCCATATGTTTCAAAATTTCATTCAATCCTCTTGGGGAAGTTGAAAAAGGAATTGTATCGTCTGCATAGTAAACGGCATCGAAGTCAACGCCGGGGATTCTTGAGTTGACAACGTGACCAGAGCTGCGGGACCTAACAAACTAAATTATCATAAACTAAATTATCACATGAACCAATCCTTGCAAGCCCACAAACTTTAGCTTTGTGTCAAATGTCTAACCTTACTTTCCGGACATATAATACGTCTATATATACACACACAAACATCCGAAGGCATCACACCGTGCAATCCGCCTCTCCTCATCCGCTGTTCATCCTTTGCTATCCGCTTTCTGATTTCGCTTTTTACTCTAAATTAAAACTTGCCATATGGAGCTATATATCCTTGAGTTTGAAGTCGAGAAATCTGAGGACTCTTCAGTTCATGATTGAGACAGCCCCTGTCTTTGTCCTCATCTACGAGCGGTCATTGCTGTTATGAATTGTCATTAGAGTCATAAGCTTGGATCCAAGTTGAAAATAACCGATAAAAATGTCGAAAATGGATGAACACGGATCCAGCCTGGCCATCTTTGTCAAAAAGGACTGCACGCGTGGACGTTGTGCCCTGGTCAATGGCCAGCTCATAGGAGGGCGCCATGCTGTACCACCGACCCCAGCGAAACACTAGGCCGACCTGATTGGTACACAGGTACAGCCTGAAGCGCATCCAGGCTGCAGAACAAATGTGTCAGTACTTCCTTTGTTTTGTAGTCCGTCTAGTTGTGCATGCCGCAGTGCATGCCTGCCACTGCTATATTATTGCTCTATCGATCTCTATCTGTGTCCATGCCTTTGAGGGTTCTCCTGTTGACCACTCTTTCAACGTGTTTGAGCTTTGGCTTCACAACCGCTCTTGGGTTTGAAATAGTTGCGCAGGCTTCGCAGGCTTTATCAAAGCTCATGTACTTCCTCCAGAAAGTGCAAAGGCTTTGCTGCTTCATTGAAAAAGTTTGTGTGATGGCTTTGCTCACGTGTGCTCGGATTTCCTTAGTCACACGATTCCGATCTTTTTGTCGATCCAGCCTTTTGTGGTCTTCAAGCTTCGGAGACCATATGAGCATCCCAAAACCGGTGGGTACCCAAGAGGACGAGAACAGCAAGGTTCTCAATACCATCTAAAGCTTGCAGCCTATGTACTGCTCTTCCAGGCGTCTGCCAGATTTCTCGTCCCACGACCACTCTTTACTAAACCCTGGTTATGGTGCTCATCTAAGGCCTCGCCTCACCCTTGAAGCAAAAATCAGGATGGCACAGCCACTTGATGCGCTGCTATGGAACAAACAATTATAATTGATATTAATTGATCCCCTGCTGTGGCTTGAAATCTAGTGTTCAATGCCACGTGCAGACCTGGTTAACACTGTCAGCAAAGCAAGTAGCCGTAGCCGGGCACTGTTACATTGAAACCGTGACGATTCGATGATGGAAAGTCACAGACCCTGGGCACAAGGATTCGATGATGAAAAGATTACATGCAAGCTTCCTTCAAAACCCGGTCACCATTTGACATCAGCAATGCCATGAGTGCCCCCACCGCTACCACCGCCACGGGACAACGTAAACTGACCAATTGACCGATCTGATTCGACGGTGTTCGATGATCATACCAGAATGATCCCAGCATCGCAGCTCATTCCAGTGTCTATGGCGGCCACTGGCTTCGACAAATTGGCAGCATGAGTTGAATCGAGCGAAGTGAGCTCAATGCTGTGACATTGAAAAAAGAAGACCTGGAAGAACAATGGATGTACACATTTGAGAACTTGGTTCTGCCAACCAGCAGTCCAGTGGACAACCTGTGACAACCTGACCTATCTAAGCAAAAGAAACAGAATCCCAAACCCAGGCAATCGTGGCTTCAAATGACCAGGTTATATGCCTGAAGCACTCATCTCTAAGGGGTGGGCCATATGCCGACTTTCAGATTAGTGGTTTTGGATCGGGCTAAAGGCACCAAAGTCACACATTCCGAAGGAGAAGCCCGAAGACCCAAAGGTCAAGAAGTGGAGACCAAAACGCTCGCTGGATAATTAGTGTATGACCACAATCCAATGATATTCAATGGCAGTTTCACATTGAACTGCCTGGTTTTCTTTGGGAAACCAGTCTCGTTCGCGGATCCGCTTGGCATAATGAAAGCTGCCAGCGTCCACAGGTTGGGTATGGGCTTGGAATGGGGTCCCTGTTTGCTTTCGGAACGTCACTCGACACACCCTGCATTCCACGGGCTAATCTTTGGGGGCACATCCAACGCTGTCAGGAAGCCCACCCACCCATGATAGAAATGTTAAACGAATTCATCAGCACACCATTTGGACATAGGGTTGGCTGAGTCACGTGCCAACCGGAGAGCAAACACGCTTGGCAGCTTGGAAGCATAGGTGTCAGGAAGTTGACTTGTCAACTTCAGAATGGGTGAGAGCTGTCCGAGCCCGTTAATCGAAAAGCCAAGCTGTGCAAAACTTTCCAATTGTCTTAGCATTTTCAGCTAAACCCGCGAAGCAGCCAACTTGGGCTGTGACCGAAAGGCTGCATCACAGTTTCGAGCCTTTCAACTTTCAACATTGGTCTGCAGGGGTTCTGTGAAAATGATGGCAAGGCGTTTGGAAAGTTGATTATTTGCTGGCTTTGTTGGCTTTGCTCCTTCGGCTCATGTAGAGTCCAACCTGTTTGGCAATTCCTCTGCTCGTCTTGCCTCTGCCTTCCACAGCTTTTGAATTGGCAAAAAAGAATGTGGCATATCGGCATATCGGGTGATGCACTGTGAGGGTTGCCCAACTTTCCTCGGCACCGATCAAAAAACTACGTAATTATGTCATGGGTAGATCAAATGTGATATTGTGTGAGCTCCTGTTCGTTATATATCGTTATATTGTACAGCTGTATAGTATTATATATTTAGTACAACTATGTAATTACTGTTCTAAATATTGAGAACATAGATAAGAATTCAGCAACCCTTACGACGCACTCTCAATCTGCACCGATAGACAGCATGACAGTCCAGTTCCTGGGTCTCGAAGAACACAAAGACACAGGACTTGCAGATTACAACAGGATTTGCACACCTCATGGGGCATCACATCACCCTCCCCAAGGGGGGTGAGATTGCACACGGGAACTGGAGTGCTAGTCAGCTGCCCCAACAATGGGTTTCTTAAACCAGGCAACCTCCAGCCATTCAGTCGGAGGTCATCCTGAGCTCAAGATGCTGTGCACCAATAAACACCACTGGCTCATGTAAAATGACGAAGAGCTTTATCAAAACGGCATGAGACCAGCAAATGTCAGGCGCTCAGACTTCTTCGCCTGCGAAGTTGACAGAGTTCATGGAACTTCTTCCATATGAGAAGAGTCAAAGGGAAAAAATAGAGGCTGAACCCACCGCTTTGCCTTGTTCGCATTGGTCTTCGAAACACCTTCACATTGCGCAAGGGCCGACAAGCAAAACGTGAGAGACAACACTCAAACCAAGCCAATCGATACAGGTTGCAGAATGTGAAGGGTTTGTCAATGTACGTTGCTTACAAGCGCAAGATAGCAGCACTCCGACAAAGCAAACTGAAAAAGTAAAAGCACTTTGTTGATTCAACGATGATCTGTGATGTTGGTGCAATCGCACTGCAACTCTTTACAAACCATCCAGATCAATTAGGCTGAAAAGACCCCAGAAATCCATGTCTGGGTGTATCCTAGTCCTAGACAATCAAGTACCAGAGCAGCTTCGCAACAGGTCTAACGAGGCACATGCAAGAAATATACAGTAAGAATTCACACTGAGTCAATCAAGAGCTCCCACTTTGATAGTCCAGGAACAATAGACATCAAACACAATCTTTCCAATTTGTAAAAAACATAATAAGACGAAGTGACGGAGTCTGTGCTGACAGGACACTGATGTGAAAGTATACGTGAGGCTGACAAACGTTTCCGTGGCACATACCTTACTCGAGTCTCGCGGATGTTTCGATGTCTCAAATCTGCTCTTCACATCTTCGTTTCGGTCCGTCTACATGTCTAGTTGGTGTCATAATGGAGGCAAAGGGCTCCAGCAGAGCTCCAAACATTCGCTGCAGGAAGCTGTGGTGTTTTTCTTCGCACGACTCCAAAACTCTCTGGAACTTTGTATCCTGACAACAAACCAAGTAAAGCAATTGTTTCTTCTAAATTTCAAAACTAATTTTCGCAAAGCTTGAGATTGAATATCTCCATAAAAATCCCATGATCTTAGGTTTGGCGAGGAATCCCACTTTGAGCAGCCCTCACATAATCTTTCCTGTTTTCGACAGTCGCCTGCCAGGATGGAAACTGTGGGGAGAAGTGTCCCATTTTTTCAAGGTTGGGCCAGGTCGTTGCGGTAGGCGTGCCCTTCATCCGGAATATCTTGAAGAGCCTAACCAGCAGGTTTGGCACAATTATACATGCATACAGCATACATCATTGAAACTGATGATTACTTGCATTGGGCCGTTCTAAATTGTATTCCTAGCCACATATCAATCTCAGAGTCACCAGGGAAGAGCGGGCGCTTTGTTGCCATCTCTGCTAGAATGCAACCCAACGACCAAATGTCAACGCTTTGATCGTACCTCGGTGACCGGCCAACTCACAAGCCACTAGAAAAGTGACGGTGTCATTCGGAAAGGTGCGCGCGCATGTGTTCGGAAAAAACTGTTGCAACAAAGAAAAGTAAAACAACATGTTTCATTTCTTTCAACACAAAAAGCGACGCTGAGATTCAAGCATGCACTGGTGCTGGTCCATCAGCATGAGTTCTGGCGCACGGTACCAAAGAGTGACAACATTCCTGGTGAAGGGCAATGGGCATCCTCAATCAAGTCAGGACAATTCAAGAGCACAGGATCTCTGAGCGAAGGAGGCCGAGAGGGGTAGCAGCACAAAGAAACAGAGAGGGAGCGAGCAAGGGAGGAAAGAAAACAGAGGACAGAAAGAAAGTGGTTCAAGCCGCTGGTGTTCAAGCTCAGGTGCGGGAACGTTACTGCACCACGTTTGTAGTTGTAGTGACCGTTCCCTTCGCAACACCGCCGCTGTGATCTTCGAGAGCGAGGTTATGAGGTTCTCTCTTGGTCCTGACCATCACGGCATCCCTTGACCCAGGACAAGGGCACTTGCTTGATAACCTTTGCTGGCGATCCTACTTGACCTTCAAGCTCTTTGACCCTCCCTCCTACCTTTCGCGAGTATCATGATGAGCACGAGCAGCCTCCTGATGCTTGGAGTGTCCAGATTTAGGTGACAGATTCGTGGGTGGCAGAACGCTGCAGGTCTCCATTGCACCTGCCCCCGGATTGAATGCCTTTGCCCCATCAGGCCTTTGTTTACGCCTGCTGGCTAGTTCTCAAAGCCTTCATGGGGGCACACCAGTTTTGCCGGTCACCGTCTGCTGCAGAAACGGTTAGTGGCTTGATTTTGCTTGGTTACCGAAGCGCGCGTTTTGGTTACTGACTCGCGCAGTTTGGTTGCTGAATCGGGCATTTTGTTGCTGAGTCGCGTAGTTGCTGAAGCGTTGCTGAAGCGTCCGCTGAATCGTTTGTTTGGTTGCTGATGTGCGGTTGCCTATACGGGTCACAGTCTGACTCGGCAACTATACGGTCTGCTTCAGCAACCAAACAGTCTGATTCGGTAACCAAACCGTCACATTTGGCCAGCACGTGCACCAGAGGTGTCCAGCCAATGACGTCCCTTCTTTACAAATTTTCATCTTATCTGGTTCCATGACAACGATGAGGATTGCCAGCCCCACCCCGTTATTTAACTAATCTACTCCCATGACAATGTTGTGACAGCAATGAAGACTGATGAGCTTTAGCCCCCGCCCTGCCTCTCCCCTACTTAAATATAATCCATTTTTTGGTTGCAGAAACGGAATGAAACGGTGAGTTGCTTGGTTACTGAAGCGGTTACTGAATCGTGCAGTTTGGTTGCTGAATCCGACATTTTTGTTGCTGAATCGGGGAGTCAGTTACTGACGCGTGGTTGCTGAACCGCGTAGTTGCTGAATGCCGTAGTCGCTGATTCGGTTAGTCGCAGAATGGCTCCTAAGGCCTTCAAGAGCAACGAGCGGCTGACATTGCAGAATTGTGGGACTACCACTACCACGCCACTAGGCCGGCTGACGCCGAAGGCTGGACGTTGCTAAACAGCCGGCAAGCGAGCACAGCAACAGATTTCGCTGTATCACGACTGATGGGCAGATGTGTGAAAGGACACTCAGGATTGCTCTGCACAAAGTCCACAAGGCCACTCTGGCCACGGTGAGCTCCACTGATGAGCACTTGGCAGCGTTCGTCTAAGGCATCCCTTGACCGACTCTGCGGTACAAAACAAGCACAAAGAAGTGGCAGCGGAAGAGAAGCGACAACTAAAACCAGAGGAAAGTGTAGAGGTGAGGAGGTGGTAGAAGAGATGAGGACAGGACAATCAAACAAAACGAGGAGGCGGAGAAGGGGGAGGCGGACAGGGGGCAGGAGAGCAAGCAAGAGAGATGGGGAGGAGAACGCCGGAAAGGGAGGGGAGAGAAGCATTGGGCAGTAGGAAGAAAAAGGGCAGAAGCGTCGGATAAAATGAAGAAACGGAATGATAGAAAGAAAGCAAGAGCTGGTTCGAGATTGCAGCACGCGAGAGCGAAGACAGAAGCCGAACGCCAAAAACCGAAAATCTAAAGCCAGAAAGAAACCCAGAGTAGACAATGTAGAATGTCCCCAGAGAACCCCGAAAACCTGTAACCAGAAAAGGGGAGGAAGGTGTAAGGTGAGCACAAGGATGTGGAGAGGGTACCCCACACTCCGGATTGAGGAATCCTGATCCCAAACGCTGCATTGAGGTTTGACACCTTGCGTCTGCTCAAAAGTAGTCATGGGTGTCAAGTCCAACGACTGCACAGAGCGCGCGACAGTGAAAGCGGAGTGTCAAAAACCGAATCTGAAAACAGGAAGGAGGATAAGGTAGGAAAGGAAACGTCGAAAGCCAGAAACTAAAACCAGATCCAGAAAATTTATAGGACCGGATAACCCCACATGTTCACAACTTCACCAGACACAGGAGCGGACAATTGGTGGTTGGTGGATGACAATTGGTTGGTGGCAGTTGGTTGGCGGCAGTTTTTGGGTGGAAGCTTGTTGGTGGCAATTGGTTGGTGGCAATTTCTTGGCGGCAATGGGTTAGTGGCAATTGGTTGGCGGCAATTCGTTGGCGGCAGTCTGTTGGTGGCAATTGGTTGGTGGCAATTGGCAATTGGTTGGTGGAAGTTTGTTGGTGACAATTGGTGGGTGGCAATTGGTTGATGACAACTGGTTGGTGACAATTGCTTGGTAGCAATTGGTTGGTGAAGATTAAGTTGGTGACAATTAGTTGGTAGCAGTTGGTTGGTAGCAAATGGTGGGTGGCAACTGATTGTGGGTGGCAATTGGTTGACGACAGTTGGTTGATGACAACTGGTTGGTGACAAGTGGTTGGTAGCAATTGGTTGGTGACAGTTGGTGGGTGGCAATTGGTTGGTGACAATTGGTTGGTGGCAATTGGTTGCTGACAAATAGTTGCTGACAAATAGTTGGTAGGAAGTGGTTGGTAGCAATTGGTGGGTGGCAATTGGTTGGTGACGATTGGTGGGTGGCAATTGGTTGACGACAATTGGTTGATGACAATTGGTTGGTGACAATTGGTGGGTGGCAATTGGTTGGTGGCAATTGGTTGGTGGTAATCGCCTGCCATGCAAATCACAGCGGCGCAGCGGCGGTGACCCACGAGCACCAGTGAGCACCAGGGCGTAATCCCACCCCCTGGAGAGCACCCAAGCGCTGCGCCTGCCACGCAAATCACAGCGGCACAGCGGCGGCGACCCACGAGCGCCAGCGAGCATCATGGCGCACATCGCACCCCCTAGAGAGCACCAAGCGCTGCGCCTGCCACGCACAGCGGCGGCGACCCACGAGCACCAGCGAGGCTCAGGGCGTACATCCCACCCCATGGAGAGCACCAAGCGCTGCACCTGCCACGCAAATCACATCGGCACAGGCGCGGCGACCAAGCCACCCTAGGGCGTACATCCGACTCGTTGGAGAGCAGCAAGTACCGCGCCCGCCACGCAAATCACACCAACACAGGTGCGGCGACGCAGCGACCCGAGGGCGTACATCCAACCCCTTGGCGAGCAGCAAGCACCGTGCCTGCCACGGAAATCACACCGGATGGTTGGTAGCAATTGGTTGGTGACAATTGGTTGGTGACAATTAGTTGGTGGCAATTGGTTGGTAGCAATTGGTTGGTGACAATTGGTTGGTGACAATTGGTGGGTAGCAATTGGTTGAGGACAATTGGTAGGTAGCATTTGGTTGATAGCAAATGGTTGATGACAATTGATTGGTAGCGCTTTGTTGGCGACAATTGGTTGGTGACAATTAGTTGGTGGCAATTGGTTGATGACAATTGGTTGATGACAATTGGTTGATGACAATTTGTCGGTGACAATTGGTTGGTGACAATTAGTTAGTGGCAGTTGGTTGGTAGCAATTGGTGGGTGGCAATTATTGGTTGGTGACAATTGGTGGGTAGCAGTTGGTTGATGACAATTGGTTGGTGACAATTGGTTGGTGACAATTGGTTGGTGACAATTGGCTGGTGGAAATTTATTGTTGACAATTGGTGGGCGGCAGTTGGTTGGTGACAATTGGTTGGTGGCAAGGGGAGGGCGGGAGGAGGAGGCGGAGCGCAGGGCGGATACAACACTAAAAACAAAAACCCCACGCGTCAATGTGGGGAACAATGAGAAACAAGCCCCGAACATAGAAATATGGAAGATCAGGACAAGACCCCGAACATCGGAAAATGGAATCCCAAATGAAGAGTGGACCAAAGCCCCTGCAATGAGATCGACAGACCACGCCTTCCAATGTGTTTCTCAAAGAATGTGGCCTCAACACACCCAAGCGCCAAGGCATGCATGCTTTATGAGATTTTATGACCACCCCACTTTCATAGAGACCCTGTCTCAAGCAAAGACCAGCCCCTGAGCACTAAGTGAGTTTCACTTGAACCACGAAAACGCAACATGCTCTGGGGTGGATGCGGGAACGAGAGCGGAAAGCCGAAAACTGAACAAAAACAGAAGCCTGAATCCAAGCAATCAAGTTCAGTACTTGCAGGCAGGGTATATATAGAACTACGCTAACTCCTCAACTCCGAGGCCACATGTACCACGCACTGTTGCTGAGGGATTCTTCCGTTCTTTCACATCTTATGCGCACCAGCCTGGCGACAGCTACCAGACGACATATTGAAGCTGGTTAGCTGGATGTCAACATGTCGTCTGCACGCAGAAGCCTTACATTCAATTTGGGTTTGCTTTTTCATCCACCCGTCCTTCCTTACAGCCCCAACAAACATCGACATCAGAAGCGTGGGTGGGGGAAGGCAGAAAGAGGAAGACTGTCGGATGTCAAAGTTGTTCTTGATAGCAAGCAGGTGTGCAGGCGCTCAAGGCTTGAAACACCTTGAAACTGTCACAGGACTGAGGGAAAGAAATGTTGCCGAAGGTGGAGCACAAACAATTGCAGAAATGACAGCAAAAGGCTTCATATGTATATCAGTTCTTCCTGGAGTTCAAAATTTGTAAGAATCGTGAAACCAACTCAAGATCCAAGATCTTCAGGAAATTGAAGTTGCTTCGCACATCTTTGGACTTTATGTGCTCTGATTTGCAAATTCCAAACGGGAGACTCGTCTGCAAAGCACTGAAGGGCTTCGCGAGGCCAAAATCCGCCACCTTCAGTGTGATCTTATCATCTCCATTCACCAAAATGTTCTGAGGCTTCAGGTCTCGATGCAAATAGCCGCATCCTTGGGGGGGTAAGCCGCAACTGAGGTATGTATAGGTAGTAGCTAGCGGTAGGTAGCGAGGAGATGCTAGTAGGTGCTATCAGGGGAAAGGTAGCTAGTAGCTTCAGTAGCTACTAGTATGGACGCTGGATAGCTCACGCACTGTTTATTTGGTTCCTAGATTTTGGAGGAAGCCCATGTTTGGCTCGCGAGGAAAGGTCAACAAATCCAGTTCTGTGTCCATAAGGCAAGAGCATTGCCTCAAATCCTATTGGCAAGATGGAAACATGACGAGTAAACATCAAGTCCCAGTATGTGTTTATAGAAGTTCGATGAAACACATCAATATTTTGTCAAAGTTCGATGGCAATGAGCCACCCCCAGTAGAATCTGACGGAACCTTGGCCGCACAAATGCATCTTCTTCGTCCATGTGGTCAAGGGGTCAAGGATTCTGACACCGATTATGTGCTTTACGCACAACAGGCCGGACAGGCCACTGTGCACAAAACTGCAGTGTACTATGCTGGCATATTTGGACCACATCCGGGACAAGCAGCGCTGGCTTCAAGTCCACGAAGGGGCCTTTCAAGACCCTCCTCGCGACAATATTGCAGTACTCTTAGTGTCTTAGAGTTTACACAGTGTTAATGCAGGGAAGGTTCTCCATGTATACAAATGAAGGCTACCTAAGCAGTAAGCGAATCCATTCCTTTGTTCATTCATTTCCCATTTCTCGCGCTGTAGTATTCTACAAACGCAATACGGTTAAATGCTTGGATTTTGAGATGTTGTGCACTTACAGGGAGCATCAGGCTGTCAGGGAGACAAAGCTTTACCCGACGTGCCTCATGTACTGGGATAGGTCAAATGGCATGAACTCCAGGATCAAGTGCACCTGACACAAGTCATTCAAAGGGACTCTGATGCCCTCCAGCAGGATATTCGTGCTACATCATCCGTGGAGTTTTAGCTTTGATGAAGGCAAACAAAGCTACACACAGATCACACAGAAGATCACACAGGGGGGGGGGTCGATATGAGCAAAGCTTCAATCAAAGCATGGTATCTAAACATCACCAGAACTCCCAAAATCCTCCCTCCCGAAAGTTGTCCCACGGTCGCACGAATCTGCTTTCGGAGCACACAGTCGGAATCGTGATGAACATCCAGGAGTTGCACCACGTTCGGATGCTGGCAGGCCCTCATGCGCTTTCGAACATCCATAAGCAGCATGGGCTCGTGACAGCTCATGGACAGTCTTGGATGTCATCAACTATGGCAAAAAATGCAAAAATAATCAAAACAGCAAAAGGATGCAAAAAAACGTGCAAAACAAACAAATCAGAAACTCAGTTGAAGGCCTGAGAGATACAATCTCTCGGAGTGAGGAAGCACTAAAGCCCTCCTGGAAAAACAAAACGACGTCCCTCCCAGGACGTCTCGTCTTCTCTTTTGGCCTTTGAGTCTGGTCCATCTGCTCCAACCCTCCGCATTCATGCAGTTGACATCTCATGACCCTCCTCAATGAATAGTGGAGAGCTCTTGATGGCAATCAATTTGCCAGTGACCTCAGATAGCCGTTTCAGATCGTTCCGGTTGGTGTTTGCCGGTTTCCATATGGCTTCTGTTTGCAGCTTGCTTGCTCTGCCATGCTCCTACTTTGCAAAGCATGCCTCTTGAGTTTTCAATAGCTTGGCTTTGCAGGTGGCTTTGCCGCCTGGCGTCCACATCTTCCATCTTGGTGACACTTCCGTAGCTTCCTCCACCAATCTTCTCCAACAGGACATAGCGGCCGCACAAATGCTCCTCTTCGAAAGTATCAACCTTGCTGAAGGAGCCCAGATTCTATTGGAGTTGACTTCCGTTGCTTTTCTTCAAAGCTATCCATATCCACATCCCCTATCATGTTTCCCTTCACCAATGGCTGTCCCTGCCTCGTGCGTTGGCACACGCGGCAGGTCTCTGATGATCGGCGGCTGCATCACAAGTGCCATTGCCTTCCGAAGGTTCCTCGGCCCTCTGGAGGGCCACCTTCAAACAACTATTGTCAAAGCAACCCAAATGTCTGCAGCATAATTGAAGGTGCGGAATGCATCGATTCTCTAGCTCCAAACGACATAGTTCCAAACGGGTCATTGCTCTCAATAAAGAAATGACTAAATTTTGTTTATACATAATTATGTATACTCGCAATTCCGTTTTGCTCTCTCTGCAAGTGCTGTACAACTTGTTTGAAGGAAAGTGTTCTGCGCAAGCTCTGCGCAAGCTCTGCGCAAGAGCTAGTGTTCCAGGCTGCGATGTGAGGTGGAACCATGGGTGGAACGATATGGAACCAGTTGAGCAATAATTTTGCCTGGAGAAGAGAAGTGGCGGCCTTTTTGTTCTACAAGGTTTGTCATTCTTTACATCCTGATCCTTGTTGAAACGATTTGCTCGATCTTGTGCCACCAAATTCGATCAACTTGAAGGACTTCATGCATGGAAACCAAAAGAAACCGGTCAATGTTCTGCAGGCTCTGCCGCAGAATATCAAAAAACACTGAGAGTCAGGAGGCAGTCTCCTCGTGACAGTGCTATAAAACTTACGATCTTGCATCATGGAAATCCTTCCATCTCTGAGATCAATATAAAGTGGCAAGCAAGGCATTGCATTTTTTTTGCACTGGCAAAGAAAACATTCATTTTTCAATTTTTGTTGCCAAGTGTCAGCATTGCTTTGCTTTCGAACGCCCAAGCACGGGAATTCAGATGGATCCACTTCGACTGCTCGTTCCGTCAAGTTATACAGCTTTGTTCGTTGCTTCTGTCACACTGCCAGCTCTGTGAAGTGTTGGCCGCACTGTCAGATGGAGGCCGCAAGCCGTCCATATCGGACCACAATCATTGGCCCCATCGTCGAGTTAGTGTCACTGGAAGTTGAGAAAAGCATGCAATTGCATAATTGCAATTATGTGAGCCAACAAGGGAAAATGCACTCAGCAAGCTAAGTTGGCCCAAGGGCACACTTCGGACTCTATAAGGTGAGTCCAACCTGTAGGCAGACCCCTCCAAAGTCGAACCTTGCAAGCCAGCTTGACATGCTCTGAATCCATTCTTGGCCAGGCTCTCGATTCTCTAGATTGACATGACTAAAGCCCTTGAAGAGCATGTCTCAGTTTAAGACATTGTCTGAATGTGCACCCGATTTCGCCGTCCAACTGCGCTTTCACGCGTGCGTCAGCGCGGTCAGCTCAAGGGCCCTGTAACCCAAATGGAAGCAGAATGCACCATGGACAGAGCTCGGCCGTGCACAACATCTGTCAAACAGGGAAAATTCACACTCAACCTGTTCTTCGAGTCTGTCCAGAAAGCTATGTACAATCTGACTTTGTGAAAACACACGGACAGCGCAGCAGTCCTTCTCTCGGTCCCGCTCTTGAGCCAAAAGCCCAGCATTGAGGCTTTCAGCAAAGCGTTCACGTAGCCAAATCAAGTCACAAGTCTCTCTGACTCTTGAACTACACAGTGAAAAGACTAAGAAGTCTACCAAGACCATTCTGGTTGAGACTCTCCCAAAACCAAACAGAAAACACAAGAGGCACCACTCCTATGGCAAAATCACATTCAAAATCCCTATACAGAGCTACATGTAGGGAGCCATGCTGCTCACTCCTAACTTTTCACACCCCTTCTTGGGTCACTACATGCTAGCTACTCCATCCTCTTTCTATACATTCCATTTTTCTGTTGTTTTTTTCTTCTCATTCGTTTGGAAGACTAAGTTCATCAACTAAGCGTTCAACCTCTACGTCCCCAGGCCTTCAACAGCAAACTCAACAAAGCACGCCAAGCTCAACAACCATGCACGCAAACAACAACTCAAGTCAACATGCACGAAAAAATCAAACCGACCAAAGGAAGAAAGTAAGGATCCCTCAGATATCTTTTGAAGTCACACAGATCTACTTAGTTTAATCTTTGGTCATCATTGGGATCCTTGAACGACAAACGTTCAAGAAGGTACCTGACAAAAAAAAAATGCAAATGCACAACCCTAAACCCCAAACTATTTTCTTGCAAATTCTGGAATTTCCAGATGGCCATAGATGACACTGCGTGCCGCAAATTTTCAAGTTTTTGTCCCAGTCATTGCATCATCAGCATCACAAGCTCTTCAACTTCCACACAAAAGTAGTGATGTCGATGAAACCAATGGCCTTCAGTAGAATGATCAACATCCTGTCGAGTGATCAACATCCTGTCAGCCATGTTTCATCTCCTTTTTGACACGGTCATATCAGCATTGCAGAACATGGAACATTCGAAACGAAAAGAACGACGAAAGCTGAGACAACCCCTGGTTCAATTCCAGCGTTCCAAACCCTGTTCACAGTCTTCTGGATTCAACGCCTAAAGATCTTGGAAGCATTGAGGCTTCTCGCAACCAAACAACACGGCAGAGTGGCCTCATCCAGTGTTCATCCAACCTGGGTAAACCCTCAAGGCAAGACACAAGAATGGAGGTGGAGAGGTAGATCTGTGGATGCGAGCGTGCGAAGATGTAAGTGGACAGAGGCGAGAGAAAAGATGTGTCTTAGGTTCGTAAGAATTTTCGAGCAATTCCGAGCAAGCCGATAGTTCAATTTGACGTCCCAGAGCCATGACCTCTGGGCAATTTAAACTATTCAGAGAAAAGATGTGTACAAAGAAAGAAGGAGAGGGCGGATGTGAAGGAGTGACGATGTGGATGCGCAGGTGTGATGTAGCTACGCCGATGTGTGGGTGTGTGGGGGTAGAGACTTTTTTTGCACGAGCGCACATGGAAAATGTTGACCTCCTCATTAGCGATGAGGCACAGCAAGACATGGACCTGAAATCAGCCTTCGCACCAGCAGTCCCCCGACAAGCCTTCTTTAGACTATTGCTCGGTGATCCCAAACAAACCCCCGGAGGAGTGGCAGACGGGCAAAGAGCTCATCGCACGCTTCTTCTCAAAGCCCCCATTGGGCTGCGAGACCCACACACCTGGTACATGCCGCATGAATTCCATGCGCTCCTTCATCACAGTCGAGGCTTTGGGCACGCTGATCTCGAGGAACAGCTGTAGCTGCCAGCCACAGGCCGTTAGGGTTTTTTTGCACGGGTACGGGCGCTATGTGTGCCGAGAGGCACAAGTCACCTTGGATGAATTCGAAGAGTCGGATGCGAGGATACGAGCCAGAACCAAAGAGGCCAACCCACCAAGGCCCAACCACCAAAACAAACAAGCACACCCAAACCGCCCCCCAAAGGAAACCGAAACGGAGCTGGCTCATATCCGCTTGAAATGTGAGAAAAAAGTAAAGATCCAGAGATCTAACACGGAGGTGAGACGGAGCAATGAATTCAAGATCCTAGCAGCACTCAGTACAAGGTGTCCATCATCGAACAGCTTCCTGCCTCATGGGTAGCTGGTGTTTCATCGAGGGGGTGTTGTGCCCTCAGTCTTTGTCGAGCAAGACTGGATGCAAGTGTGAGTTGCTTTCTAGGCCAGTTTCGGAGCCAGGCAAGACGGAACTTGTATCAAAGATCACGACCGAGCCTATGCTAAATTGAAGAGCTCCTAATTGGCCTCCACTGTGACGAACGCTCCTCAATGCTTGCGTTACAAAATTCCAGCTTGCTCTCGGCTGTTCGCGGAACAAAATTCCCCTTGCTCTTTGCTTGCGAATTGTACGATGTCAGATATGCGCTTTGGCGGGACGAGCCAAGACAAGACTACCTGGGTGTTGTAACGAGCAAGCCACAGGCCGTTAGGGGGCCTTTCGCCAGCATGCTGCAATCCACATGCAGCGACCTCTCCACTTAAGCTCCCGGAGGGGCTTCTTGCAGGTCTTGGCTGCACAGCCACCAGCCCTGACAGTCCACTGGACTTTCGACAAGCGCAGACCACCGCAGAGAGATCGGGTGTAGCCGGTCCACGCGCTGGAGCCTCATGCTGCCAACGAGTGCAAGAGTTGCCCAAGAGGTCTGTGAGCCGTTGATCGGAATCCAGTGCCCCATGCTTTGCAGCCGATTGGGCGACACCTGGCAAATAGGCACAACCTCAATAAGGGAAGACCAACTGATTGCCTCTGGCCTGCGTTTCGTCCATTGGTGCCATGCCTCGGCTGATGTGGGCGCAAGAAAAGATCCCAAGAACAGCCCCGCTGTGCGGGTGTATCGGAAGATGAGCTGACAAGGGCAGATGCAGGAAACGAGGGCATTTTTTTGGCCCTCACGACCACCCGAGAAGGAGCCCAAAATCTGCGTAACTGCTTTGACGTGGCTGGGAAGAAGGCTGACGCAGAAACGGCCGTCAAAGTTGCAGGCACCACAGCCAGGCGTTGCATCATCATACACGGGAGTCCACCTTCCTCAGTGGAGAAGGACGGAACTTTGTTTCCACGAGTACGGACGCCATGTGGGCGGAGTGCCCAGGTCATCAATGAAGGGAAGGAAACACAACATGATGAGGGGAAAGGAACACAAGCAACCCCAAACGCCAAACAAACACCAACGAAACAAGAACCCCAAACACAAGGCCAGAGGCCGAATCCCCCTCATCTAAAAGTGTTTCCTCTGTACGAAGGTGAGACAGTGAGAAAAGTTGGCTGTAAACTATCTATGGGCCTGAATTCGCAACGAAGGTCCGTCAGAAGGGTCAGCGCAGGAGCGGAGTGCAACGATGCCAGTCAAAGGGGCTTCGCTCCACCCTCAAAACTGTGACCAAACGGCCACTGCATCGAGTGGCGAACGTGGTAATTGGGTGCTTTGCAGGAGCTGCTCTGTTTGTCAGCAGGTCTGATTCTTCTTGCCCGAGGAAATCAGTTGTTGCCCTGCCCAGCATGCGTGGAAAAGTCCCTTCTCGTTGCGCAACCCTTTCAACTGATTGCACGAACGAGAGGCATATCAGTGGTCAGGCAGTGGAGGCAGGAGCAACGAAGAGAGCTTGCTGACTAGGGTGCTGCATTCCCCCCCCGAAGGGAGGTCTCCTTTGCACCCCTTGGCATCCAAGAAGTGCCAAAGGTATGTTCTGTTCCTGAAAGAAAGAGAGGTGCCAACGTGAA